TCTCCCAACCCGTTTTGCGAGCTGGTCGAAGTCGAGCCGAATTGACCGGCTATATAGCCGTTCCAAAAAATTCGGTATTCTGGCTATTGTGCTGAAATCGATGCGAAAAAAGGGGGGGCGGTCATTACTTCTTCTCGACTTTAAGATACCCGACTTCCTTGGTTATCTCTCATGTCTTGCTATTTGGGTCGAATTTTTCCCATTAATGATTATTTGTTCAAGATATGGCTGACACTGCCGCCTCCCAATTTATTTTGAATTTCAAATCCTTTAAGTGACGCGCGTCATGTCAACCGCTGACTCCTCGCATTCTGTGCCTTATCACGATCGTTGGTTTCCTTTTAATCTAACGGCTGACATCCATCCTACTTTCTATAAATAAGATTGGATTTATTCCTTAGTCTTTTTTACTTTTCCCCATATTCTTCTGCTACTCCGACGATTCAAGGATCCCAGCTTTCTTTTCCGGCGAGTTTATTTTCATCGTTTGCAGAATTTCAATCTCCTGTCAGATCGACGATATGTGTAAGTATTAATATTCTCTCTACTCTATTCTTTCTTTTTCCTATTTTCTGGGTCTCCGAATTTTTCTGCGTTGCTGTGTTCTTCGTGTTCTTCAAAATGTTTTGTTTTTTTTTTTTTTTTTTTTTGAGATGTTGTGCTGGATCTTGTGTGAATCATCTTTCGAGTTGATAGATTGTTATCGTGCGACCTAGGCTATTGCGTATATCCTCTTATCGGCTTTCATTATGTCGACCCTTATCGACATTCGCTCTTTTTCTTTTTTGTGCTTTCCTTGAGTCGACTTCCTTTTTGTATTTTCCCTGAGTCGACTCTTATCGCCATGTCTGATCTTTGCCTTTGTTTCTTATTCCTTTTAGCTTCCAACTCCGGTTCTTCGCCCGACACCCTCGACAGATTGATCGATAGGGGCCTTGACCAAGCTGACTCAAGCTCAGTTGAGATTACCGGCTGTAAGATGGTTAATGTTTCACCCCCTTAATTGGGTACTTCAACCCCGAAGGTCGACTGGGCCGAATATGATCAAGCCTTGTTGGACGGTGGTCTAGTTGAGGTCTCAAAGAGTCCTCGAGGAAACTCTCCTCGTCTCGACT